AGCCTGAGCTCACTGCTTTCTCAGGTGCAGTGGATAGGGAAGGTGCGGGGTGGGCGGGAGTGTCTAGATGGGCCAAAGCTGGCACAATGGCCTCTTGTGGCATTCTCCTGGCACTCTCCTGGAGGTTCCCACTTGGCTTGCTGAAACTCCTGGGACTCACTAGTTCACCCCACTATTCCATATTTGACACTGTGCCTGGGCTCAGGGGCGGAAAAACCTTCAGTATATTTAGTGTCCCACTGTTCACCGAAGGCATTTATAAGGGGGAGGGAATCGCCCTCCTCTTTCGCTGGGCTCAGAGCCTCTCTGGGTTTGATGCCTGCTGATATCTTCTCCTCTTTATCTTCTTACTTCTCAGCCTTGCAGTTTTCTCTGTGAGGTCCCCAGCCATCTCTGGCTTCTCTATCTGTGGTCCATACCTTAGCTGTGACTCTTTCCCCCCTCCTCTGTTCTATATCCTGCCTTCCCACTGGGACAGTCCAACAAGCATTGTCTCTACTGGGCCATCTTGCTCAGTAATTCAATAACACTTATTGATTTGTGTATGTTAAACCATCCTTGTATCCCTCGGATGAAAGCCACTCAATCATGGCACATTATATCTTTGATGTGATGTTTAATTCTGTTTGCTAGTATTTTGTTGAGGATTTTTACATCTATGTTCATAAGAGATATTGATCTGTAGTTTTCTTTCTTTGTTATGTCCTTTCCTGGGTTTGGTATCAGGGTGATACTAAATTCATAGAATGAGTTCGGGAGGATTCCCTCCTTCTCACTGCTATGGAATGGTTTCTGTAGGATAGGTATCCGTTCTTTGTAGGTCTGGTAGAATTTGGATGTGAATATGTCTAGTCTGGAGCTTTTTTTCTTTGAAGATTTTTTAATTACTGCTTCAATCTCACTGCTCACTAGTGATCTGTTCAGGATTTCTATTTCTTCTTGATTTAGGCTTGGAAGGTTGCATTTCAGGAATCTGTCCATTTCCTCTAGGTTTCCTAGTTTGTTTGTGTAGAGGTTTTCATAGTATTCATGGATGATATTTTGTATTTCTGTGATATCAGTTGTAATGTCTCATTTATCATTTCTGATTGAAGTTATTTGAGTCCTTTCTTTTTTATTTCTGTTTAATCTGGCAAGTGGTCTACCAATTTTGTTTATCTTTTGAAATAACCAACTTTTTGTTTCATTGAGCCTCTGTATCTTTTAAATTTCCCTTTCATTTAGTTCTTCTTTGAGCATTGTTATTTCTTGTTTTCTGTTGGCTTTGTGTTTGGTTTGTTCTTCTTTTTCTAGTTCCTTGAGATGTGACTTTACGTTGTTTATTTGTAATCTTTTTATATTTTTGATGTAGGCATTTAAGGCTATGAATTTTCCCCTTAGGGATGCTTTGCTGTATACAATAAATTTTGAAAGCTTGTGTCCCTTTGATATTCAATTTGAGGAATATTTTTATTTCCATCTTAATTTCATCATTGACCTAAGGGTCATTCAGCAGCATGTTGTTTAATTTTCACGACTTTTTGTAGTGTTGAGTTTCTCTTGGACTTTATTTTTAGTTTTATTCCACTGTGATCTGAGAACATACATGATCTGATTTCAATTTTTTTGAATTTGTTGAGAGCTTTTTGTGGCCTAAGATATGTTCAATCTTGGAAAATGTCCCATGTGCTGATGAAAAAGAATATATTTATATATATTTTTCAAGACAGAGTCTCACTCTGTTGTACTGGCTAGAGTGACAGCAACCTCAAACTCCTGGGATCAAGTGATCCTTCTGCCTCAGCCTCCCGAGTAGCTGGGACTACAGACATGCGCCACCATGCCCGGCTATTTTTTTCTATATATTTTTAGTTGGCCAATTAATTTCTTTCTAATTTTTAGTAGAGGCGGGATCTCGCTCTTGCTCAGGTTGGTCTTGAACTCCTGAACTCAAACAATCCATCCACCTCGGCCTCCCAGAGTGCTAGGATTACAGGTGTGAGCCACCGCACCTGGCCAAAAAAAGTGTTTATTCAGTAGTTTTTGGGTAAAATGTTCTGTAAATATCCGTAAGGTCCATTTGTTCTAGAGTCCTGTTTAAGTCCAATGTTTCTTTGTTGATTTTCTGCTTCAATGATCTGTCCAGTTCTCTCAGTGGAGAGCTGAATTCCCTGGTGATTAAGATACTACTGTTTATTTCTTTTCTTAGATTTAGAAGCGTTTGCTTTATGTAACTCAGAGCTCCTGTGTTAGAGGCATATAACTTTAGGATCATTATGTCTTCTTGTTGAATTGCTCCTTTCAGCATTATATAATGTCCATGTTTGCCTTCTTTTACCATTGTTGATTTAAGGTCTATTTGAGCTGATATGAAAAACTACACCTGCTCTCTTTTGGTTTTCATTTGCATGGAATATTTTTTCCATTCCTTAACCTTGAGTCTGTATGAATCCTTATGGTTTAGATGTGTTTCTTGGAGACAGGAAATACTTGATTTGTGTTTATTCATCCATTCAGTCAGTCTATGTCTTTCGAGCAGGTCATTCAGACCACTCATATTGAGTGTTAGTATTGATATGTGGGATGCTGTTCTGTTTATGTTGAATGATACCTTATTGATTCGTTTTCCCTCTTCTGCTATTGCTTTATAATAGCTGTGAGTTCTAACTTTTGGGTGTTTTTACATTATTGGGTATCTATTGTGGTGTTGCATGCATAATGCACTTTTGAGCATTTCCTGTAGGGCAGGTCTAGTAGTGACAAATTCCCCTAGTGTTTGCTTGTCCAAAAAAGTCTTTATTTCTCCATTATTTATGAAACTTAGTTTTGCAGGGTAGGAAATTCTTGTCTGGCAGTTACTCTGTTTAAGAAGGTTAAAAATGGGGCCCCAATCCCTTCTGGCTTATAAAGTCTCCACTGAGAAGTCTGCTGTTAGCCTGATGGTTTTTCCTTTGTAGGTTAGTTGTTGCTTTTGTCTTTCAACTTGTAGAATTTTCTCCTGCATTTTGACTTTGGCCAAATGATGACTATGTGTCTTGGGAATGTCCTATTTACTATGAATCTTCCTAGTGTTCGATGACCATCTTTTATCCGATGTCTAGATCTCTGGAGATACCAGGGAAGTTCTCCTCAATAATTCCCTTGAATAGGTTTTCCATGCTTTTTGCTTTTTCTTCTTCTTCCTCTGAGACAACTACAGTTTGTATATTGGTTCATTTCACATAATCCCATATTTCTCTGAGTGATTGTTCATTCTTCTTTATTCTTTTTTCTCCATCTTTGACTGACTGTGTTATTTTGAAAGCCTTGTCTTCAAGTCCTGAGATTCTCTCTTCTGCTTGGTCTAGCCTGTTGTTGAAGCTTTCTGCTGTATTTTGTAATTCCCTACATGACTCTTTCATTTCTTTAAGTTCTGTTATAGCCTTTTTTATGTTGCTTATCTCTTTGGTGAGCTTTTCATTTTTTTCATTTATGTCCTGAAACATTTTTTTTTTTTTTTGCTTCTTTGTATTGGTTTTCAACTTTCTCTTCACTTCCATATTTTGAATTCCATTTCTGTCATTTCAACAATTCCTTTTGGTTGGGGTCCACTGCTGTGGATCTATTGTGATCCTTTGGGGGTGTCCAACTAGCTTGTTTTTTCTTGTTGCTGAAATTTTTTTGCTGGTCTCTTCTTATCTAAAACCTGTTCTTTCAGCTTAGGGCTGATAGGTTTGCCGTGTACCTGTTCTCCCTGTCTGGGAACTCTACTACTTAAATAGATAGACAATGCTTTCATGTCCTACTCTGGAGAATTGACCTGGAGGGAGAGGGGTAGATGTACTGTGAGCCTGTAACACAGGTGTTCTCCTGCATTGTCTTGATCCCCTGTGGTTGTCACAGTCTAAGCCTATGTTGGGGGATACTTGTTCAGATTGGTGTATTGGTCCCCAGGCCACTCTTGGAAGCTCAGGCAGAGGACTGTGTAAGTTCCTCTCCTCAGAGGTGAATGGTGTGAACTTTGGCAATGCCAAGGTGGGTTGTGGGATCTGGGCCAAGACTGGATGATCTTCATGTGGAGTGATTTGTTGGTCCATAGGTCAGTATTGGAAGCCCAAGCAGGGGACTGAGTGAGTTGTTCTCCACTGAGTTGGACATTGCAGGAGATTGCTCTGCTCCAGTCTCCCTGTGGTGGTGGCAGTAGCTCTTTGGCAAGGTTGTATAGGCAGTGGCCATAGGTGTCAGAGCTGTGGCATTCACTCCATTAAGGTCTAGGTGTAATAGCACTATGTGGGGTGGGGGGAGGCAGTTTGTGGCTAGCGAGTCCATGATGGCGAGCTGGACTGTAGATGTGGCATCACATAGTGCCATGGGGGGGTTGCCCAATAGTTGTTGCACAGGGCCAGGGGCTTGTTCTGCTGGTTGGTGCTTGGAGCTATGGAGGCATGACCAGCTGGTTGGCACACAGGTTTGTGGGGGGGGCATGGACCTCTGCTTGGCACCCAGATCCATGGCTGCATGGGCCTCAGCTGGCAGTGCACAGGTCAGGTTGCTTGCTCCACTGGTCAGGGTGTGGGGCCGTGGGAGATGGGCTGCTGGATGCCTGGGGTT